AGGTCCTTGGGCTCTCTCGTTAGCTTTGCTACTCCTAACATGCAGCTTCTATGCCACAATCTCAAGTCAAGCTCTATCATAACCCCTGGATTCCACACGTAGAGCAGGGTGGTCCACATCGTTTCCATTCCAATCCTGGTGCACGGAGTGCCCCCTTATGCAAAATGCTGCTATAGAAAAAGGAAAGACTAGGTATGGGAGGAGGGGTTACCTAGTGGCATACTAGTGAATGTTCAAACACCTAACTCGAAAAGGTATAATGAACACCTCTGTTACTAGCATTTTCTCCTCGATTTTCTTCGGTATGACTACTCCTACCGTGACCATTATCAAGTTGCAGCACATAGTTTGAGAAATTAGGAGGAGATACCCACTATTGGCTCTGAAAAGCTGATAAGAGCAGCCTGCAGCACACCTGTGAGTTCATATACCATCTGCCACAGGGTAGAATATAATTGTTAAGAGGAAAAAAAGTTTAGTGCAAAACAGGGCTGCTGGTGCACGTCAGTGGTAGAGTACTTGCGTAAGGCCTTGATTTCCGTTCCCACCTCCACTTACAAAAATATATTTCCTGAGGGATGTACTTCAGTGACAGAGCATATTCAAGGCCCTGGTTTTGGTCCCAGCAACACACATACACAGAAAAAAAATTGCACTTGTATCTTAAGCCTTCTATTATGTGTTTCTGTATGCATTTCCAGACACACACACGAAGCATTACACACACTATGCTTTCTTCAGTAACTGAAAAATTTTGAAAAATTTTTAAGATGGATAATCATTTTAAAAGCCCTTTAAAACTCTTAAATATCTTTAAAGAGTCATTAGGAAAAAAGTTACTAGAAAACTTGCTGTTTTGTATTCTAGAATAAGTAATAGCATGTGTATATATACTCATTCTTGCTGGCATGGGCAGAGAGTTTCTGGGGGGATAAAAAATAGTAACATTTACTGTGAGTCGTGGGGCTGGTGGTTAAAAAGTGGTATTTAGGAAAGATCATTTTGATTTTTTATTATTCCTATACTGTTTGGGTTTTTTAGTCAGTGTGCAATTTTTAGTAATTTTTTTAAGCTGCTTAAGCATTTTTAAGATTTTTTTCAAGTTTTGACTGAAAATGTACTAACTGGAGCTGGATGTGGTGGCACATGCCTGCTATCCTGTACTCTCCGAGTCTGAAGTGGAAAAATTGCAAGTTAGAGCCCTGCCTGGAAAATTCAGTGAGATCCTGTCTCAAAATTAAAAATAAAAATAAAAAGCACTGGAGATGTAGCTCGGTATGAAGACCTTGGGTTCAATCCTCAGTATGTACCATCACCACCATCAAAAGGTTATAAGTAAAGTTTTTTCCTTCTTTTAGTGTTAGAATTAGCAGCTAAGGTCCAAAACTGATACCAAAGAAAGTTGTATGTCCCTACCAATGACTGGGTCCACACACACCACCCAAGAGCTGATTAATGGGCATGGCATGGACTGCCCTAGTCCTGTTTTCAGATCTCACCTAGCCCATCACCCCCTACCCTTGCCCTCTTTCCAGGCGGGAGGCAAGCTGGGAGTGGGCAGAGGCTCGGCTTAACCTGCAGGCAACAGAGAACAAATTCAAACGTTAGGGATTGCCGAGAAGGGAATTTCATTCCCTGGTCAATGTTTGTTGAGCTGTGAGCATGCCCTTATGCTGTTATCAAAATGGAAGGAGGCGTGGGAAACACATTCTCAGATGTTTTTGGTATGCGTACATTACAGGGGGGAGGGAGAGAGAGCGAGCCAGCCTAATGTATTAGTTTTACATTTAGAAGTGTATCATTTCTACTTCTAAAATAGCTCCCCGCTTCCATTTTAAAAAGACCAGGGTACCCAGGCGTGGTGGTGCACCCCTGTAATCCCAGCACTCAGGAGGCTGAGGCAGGAGTATCTTTGAGAGTTTGAGGCCAGCCTGGGCTACAAAGTGAGCTCAAAGCCAGCCTGAACTGCATAGCGAGACCCTGTCAATGCTGGGACAGGGGCCTGGGATGTAGCTCAGCGGCACAGCGCCTGCCTGGCAAGCATGAGGTCCTGAGTTCAATTCCCTGGTACCAACCAACCAACCAACAAATAAATAAATAAATAAAAAGACTGGGGTACAGCGGGTGTGGTGGCACATGCCTGTAATCGCACCACTCAGGAGGCTGAGGCAGGATGATCACCACAAGTTCAAGGCCAGCCTGGGCTACAAAGTTTGCTCAAGCCCAGCCTGAACTGCATAGCGAGACCCTGTCTCAAAACACTGGGGAAAAAAAAGGCAAGGGTTTCATTTGTCTTAGAATATAATGCTACTACTTTTAAAGAGTTATATATGTAATACTTGTTTTTTAAGCAGTGAAATACATACTAATTTTCAAAAGGAAAATCCAGTAGCCATCTATGTGAAATTCGGTGAAGAAGAAAGATGAGATTGGGATACTTCATGGTCTCACTGTAAATGAAAGTGCTTACATTTTAAATAAAAGACCGAGGATATAGCTCAGCAGCACAGCACCTGCTTGGCAAGCACAAGGTCCTGAGTTTGATCCTGGTACTGAAAAAATATTTTTTTAATAAAAGTATAAAGAATTTTTAGAGGCTTAAGATACAGTTTAGAGGTAGAGCACTTGCCCAGCATATGCAGGGTCCAGGGTTCACTCTCTAGCACAATCCAAAAAAAATAGTTTTTTCGGTCTGTTTTGAGACAGAGTTCTGCTACGCAGTGCAGGCTGGCCTTAAGCTCACTTTGTAGCCCACGCTGGTCTCAAACTCACAGCGATCCTCCTGCCTCAGCCTTCCAAGTGCTGAGATTACAGACGTGCACCACCATGCCCGGCAATAAAATAAGGACTTTTTAAAAGGGAGATTAAACTACCTGCTATCCAGTCCCAAGTAGAGAGTAAATTCTCAGGTTGGACGTCTACCTCAGTGAGAGAGCACTTGCCTAGCATGCGTGAGCCTTGGATTTGATCCCCAGCACAGGTATACAAATTTTTTTGTTTATTTTTTGAAACAGGAACTGGCTATGTAATTCAGGTTGGCCTTCAACTCACTATGTAGTCCAGGCTGGCCTCGAACTCATGGTGATTCTCCTGCCTCAACGTTCTATGTGCTGGGATCATGGTTATGTGGCACTATGCCCAGCTCAAAAATACTTGTTACAAGAGGGCTAAACAGCACTTGCTATCCAATCCCAAGTAAAGTATAAACTCTCCATTTAGGGGGTATAACTCAGTAGTAGAGCACTAGCCTTACACGTGTGCAGATGTGAGGCCCTGGGTTCCAACCCCAGTACGCACACACACACGCACACATATACAAAAGCAGCATGAGACCCACAAGCTATCATTTATTGCTAAATTCCCTAAATAGTGAAGATAAAATTTGACGATTCTGGCTCCACACTTAAATTTCTAAAATCCTTCTTAAATATTGGAAATCCAGTTCTCATTTATATCAGCTAGTTGCAAGTTTATTAAGGGGTAAAAAGCAAAAATATTATTGACTATACAAATGATGCTAATGATATAACTATAGTGAACTATAGCCTTGCCAAAGTGACTATTTATATTTTTTCAGACATAGCTACTGTGGGTGATCCTAAAAGTAATGAAATAATTATTATACCTATTAAATCAACTGGTGACCAGAGAATTACTTCTTGGTGTTGGATCATGCATACTCAGATTTTTCTATTCTTACCCAAATTGTATTGCTTGAAATGTAAACCAGAATAAAACTTGGACCTCAATTCCATCAAAGTCCTACTGTTGCTTGGCTGTTCTTTTATTAAAATTATAAAATAAGAGATGCCATGCCATCACAGCTATTTAACATTATTCTGCAATTTCCAACCACTACTATAAGACCAAAAGGTGGAGGAGAAGGAAGAGGTATTAACTTTGGAGGTGATAAATGATCATTAGCAAACAATGGAAAATCCAGGAAAAGAATTTAAAGCTTAAGCGATCCTAAATGAAAAATTCATTTGGCAGTGGATTATGAAGTAGATGTACAAAAATGATTGTAGTATTCTTACATATCTAAAATACCCAAGAATGTCATAGAAAGAAAAAAAAATACTATTCAACAAGTAATGTGACATATAAATCATCAGAAATTAAGAATTTCTCAAAAAATATATGGGCCTATATAGAGAAAACCACCAATCTTTAGTGATAGATGTAGAGATGCCCTGATCTATGTCAGAAATGTAAAATTATGGATTCACCCCTAGCTATTATAGTGACATTAGAAATCTTATTTTAAATAATATTTGGTGGTTATCAAAATGAGTCTCAAATTTCTCAGAAAGAATAAAGGGGAAATACCCACAGTAAACACAATAGAAGTTTTTACTTAACTAAATGCTGAAATATTACTACCAGCAATTACAACTGCTTTACTTGTCATGGAAATAATATTACCAGTAAGAAAGAGTAGAAAGCAGAGCAAGCCAATATTAAAAGCAGTACTGTTTTTTAAAAGGTAGTATTTAATTTAGGGAGAAAAGAAAGCATTGCTAAACATTTGAATAAAATTGGTTACATTTATAAATCACACCATACAGAAAAATAAACTCCAAATGGAAAGTAAATGTAAGAGCAAAACTTTAAGATCATCTTCCTCTACAGAAGAAGTAATTATATAATATTAGGGGTGGGAAAGTCTTCCTATGCATAGCTACAAAGTTTGAATATATAATGAAAAAGATCAGTGGATTTTGCAATGTCAATTTTTACCTTTTTCTAAAAGAAAAGACCCAGCATCTGTATGGTTTCTTGCTTTATATTCAAAAACATGAACATAACTATGTGTTCTACCAGTATTACTCTCCATAATAGTTTTAATTTGTAAAATTAAAGCAACCTCTTTTTTCAAATACCATTTCAGATTCTATATCCTGGTTCAGCAAGAATGATTTTTTTTTTAATTTCATTTTAACTTTTATTTGAATATATTTGGCTCTGTTGAACTTAACTACTTTTTTCTCTCTTTTCAGGTATCTGGCACAATTTTGTCCTTGCTCTCTTGGGTGTTTTAGCTCTTGTTCTCCTCCCAGTAATTCTCTTACCATTTTACTACACTGGAGTTGGGGTACTTATCACTGAAGTTGCTGAGGTAAATAAAGTATTACTTAGGGCATTCTTTAACCTGATGTTGTGATGTAATACTTAGCATTTAATGTCAGGTACTTTTATTCAAGCTTTTCTCACACACAGAATGCTGTTCCTTCTGAAGAAATTACTGTAATCTTTTAAAATCTAAATATAATGTTGTGCCAGGTGTGGTGGCACACACCTGTAATCCCAGCACTGGGAAGGCTGAGGCAGGAGGATTGCTGCGAGTTCAAGGCCAGCCTGAGCTACAAAGTGAGTTCAAGGCCATCCTGAACTGCAGAGTGAGACCCTGTCTCAAAAAGATAAGAGAAAAAGAAAGAAAGTCAGTAAACACATTAGCTTTTTAAAAATGCCATGAAATTTGTTTTTGTTCTAAATGACAAAAATAGTATCAAGATTTTCTACATATACTTTGCTGATAAAACGCATCATTTACTATTGCTGTTTATATCTTTTGTGAGTGAGACAGAGATTGAGGAGTGAACTTAGGGACCTTCACACTGACACACCAAGCTATGTATCCAGTTTTTTTAATGTGTTAAAATAATTTAATTTCCCCATACATTTCTGTCCACATGAGAAATCAAGACTGCACTTTTTACATTATTTACCTGTTTTGAGACATTCAAGTCAATTCAGATGGCAAAAGTAGAATTCGATTGCTAGTGAAGTATTTTAAAAAAATATATTAAACAAAATGTATCTTTACAAGATAAAAAATAATCTTCCACAGTGCAATAAACTGCAAATCACTGAAATTTTAACTCTTTAGATGATTTCAATTCAGTTTTTGGTTTTGAAATCTGGACACAGTAAGAAAAAAAGAGTTGGCAGAATTTCTATCAGTTTTTATGTTTTTCTTTCTTGCTTTGACTACTGGGAACCCTGACAGATGACGGAGGAAGTGCTCTTGCAAGACCTGTAGTCTTGAGCGGTCAAAAAGTTCATTCTGGGATGGAAACTCACTATGGCAGTTTGTGCAGCTGATGAGAACATCACTCTGTATTTGTGATTCAGCAGATACTTTCACAGATTTTTTTCATATCTTTGGTTTTCTTTCCTTTGGGGTTAGGAATACTTTTAGCTTCACGTTTTGGATCATCACATGGTTTGATGGTCTCTGTGACACTGACATTTTCTAGATTATCTTCTAATTCTTTGGCATCATCTTGATTTAAGTTCATATTTTCTGGATCAAACTTTTCTCCTCCAGTCCCACTTTTGTTGAAACTGTCATCGTAGCTCTGTGCTGGCTTCTGGTTTTTTTCTTGTGTTTTTTACAAAGCTTTTGTTTGGGTACATCTTCCACTTCCCCAGAATTAGCATTCAGTAGATTTTCATTGACCTGGCATCCGGAAAAATTCTCTTCCTCCTCCTCCAACTATTGTTTCAACAAGGCAACCATCTCCGGGTGTTTCTCTGACTTTTCCTGATTCTTCGTGGCCTTTTCTGTCTTGAAAGATTTGTGACATGCTGGGCAGTGACAATCATAAAACTCCGCTTCCTCGGCCTCATCTCTGTCTTTACTGTCCGGTCCGCCTTTGAGCCTGTGTTCCTCCATTGCACTTTTGTCTGCTCCATCTCCAAACTCCTTTTCCTGCCACGCCTGCATCTCCTGGGGCTCTTTCCCCATGTTGGCCTTGCGCATCCAGCTCTGTTCTCCGCACTGCTCCGCCAATTTGGCTTCATCTGCCCGACCTGCCGGGCCTTCTCAGCATTCTGTTCCTTTATAAGCTTCCGATGAGCCTGTACTCTCTTATCTCTTCTACAAACAAAAGCTACCAGCTGGCGCACAGGCTCATTCTATTTCCTGGCTTGGTCTCAAATTTTTTTGTTTTCTTTTCCCATAGCTCACTTTTCCCACGGCTTGAAGCTTCCCATGTATCATATTCTTCCAGGCGCAGTTCTTTTGAGTACACAGACTCTGCCAGTAGGCATAGAAAGGGCGGACTACCATATCATAGTCACTCTGGGAGCCTCGAAAGTTGGAAAATCTTCAACATACCCCTCTAGTGCAGATTCTAATTCTTCCTTTGCAATCATTTCAAAAACATTACAATACACTGTGTAAAAGCCCTTTGCATACTCTCCATAGCTAGAATAACAGGTAACAGTGAAATAGTGAAGCAAATCCAAACTGTCATCTCGATATTCTCCAACACGCCCTTCGCTAAGCAAGGCCTCTCTATGATTATCGCACCGTGCTCTCTCCTGAGGGTCACTCAACACAGCGTATGCTGCTTGGATTCATTTAAATTGTTCGGCTGCCTGTGCAGCATTATCCAAATTTTTGTCCGGGTGCCATTTCAGAGCCAGCTTCCTATAGGCCTTCTTGAGCTCTTCCTCTCTGGCATCACACCACACTCCCAGCACTGGGGGGACAGGGGCCAAGACCCTGTCGGAGCAGTAGAGGCCCCGTGGCACCCACAACCCATATCCAGTTTTTTTATTTTTAAATTTTGAGGCAAGATCTCACTCAGTTGACCAGGCTGGGTTCAAACTTGATGATCCTCCTGCCATAGTCCCAGAATGCTGGGATTACAGCATGTGCTACTATGCCTATGTATCTTGGAGTCAAATGCCATCACTCTTTAGGAGGTGTGTGTGTGTGTGTGTGTGTGTGTGTGTGTGTGTGTGTGTGTGTGATGCACGGCATGGATGCACACACATGTGGGTTTCTGTGTTACCAGGGAATGAACCTAGGGCCTTTGCACTAAGCTACATACCCATTCCTTTTTATTTTTAAATTTTAAGATATCTTAGAAGAGGGCAGGCGTGGTGATGCACACCCAGCACTTGGGAGGCTGAAGGCAGTAGGGTTGCTGGGATTTCAAGGCCAGCCTGGGCTACAAAGTGAGTTCAAGGCCAGCCTGAGCTACATAGTGAGGCCCTGTCTCAAAAAGGCCAAAAAAGATATCTTAGAAGAAAAATGAAACCTCAGCTGTCTAGCCTAAGCATTTCTTAACAGTTTAAGTTACTGTACTGAACTCTATTTGATTCCCTTAGACAATAACTATTATGATGGCATCAAATCTTCTGTTCAGACATTTTGAAGAGGAAAATCGCCTTTGTGAGCAATTGGCTTATGTAGTTATTGCACTGAGGGTGTTCTCTGCATATTTGGAACTTTTTTTTAATGTAAGGACTGTCTTCTAATTGTATGCACTGAAAATATAGGAAAGTTTCCCCCAAAATTTTAATTAGCAGTTTTAGAAAAAAAATTTACCTTTTTATTTTCTTTTTTTGGTGCTGGGGTTTGAAACCAGGGGCATATATATACTACGCATGCGATACACCCCAGCAACAGTCAGCAAGTAGATTTTTTTTTTTTTAAACAGGGTCTCACTATAGTGCAGGCTAACCTTGAACTCACGTATGTAGCCCAGGCTGACCTCAAACTCATGGCAGTCCTCCTGCTTCAGCCTCCCAAGGGCTGGGATTACAGGCATGTACCACCATGCCTGGCAGATTTTTTAAAATGTTTGTTTGTTTGTTTGTTTTGTACCAGGAATTGACTCAGGACCTCACATTTTCCACACAGGCAATGTGCCACTGAGCTATATCCCCAGTCCCAGATTTTCTTTTTAAACTGTGAAAAATGAAATATCTTTGAAAAATTGGGGCAAGCAACTATAATTGCTGGGTTTTATTTTGTTAATTTTCTGGGTCTATGGGTCTTAGATTAAAAGCTGAATTATTTTCTGCATTATTCAACATGTTCTACTCCATTGACTCAGTGTCTTTTACTATTATTTGCTGAGACTGATCTTAGCTTCTCTTCATACCTTGTCTAATTTGATTTTGCCTTCTTCCTAAGGACTCACCTGCCATTGGACCCAGAGGCCTTTTTGTGGGAGACCTTGTCACTCATCTACAGGACTGTCCCGTTACTAATGTACAGGATTGGAATGAATGTCTAGAGACCATTGCCTATGAGCCCCAGATTGGCTACTGTATAAGTGCATCAACTTTACAGCAGTTAAGCTTCCCTGTTAGAGGTGTGTATATTTCTCCAGTATAATTGAATGCTTTAATCATCAGTACCTTCCATTTACTAGTCCTTAGATCATATCTATAGCTTCATTTTGTTCCAGTTTTTTTTAATGCAATTCAGTAAAAGAAATAGGCCCCAACAAGTAATCTTCTTGGTAAGTTAGATACTAAATATGTTTGTTTCCTCTATTGTGTATGGTTGCTGAACTACCAACTTTTATAATACCATATGGCTTTCAGAACTCTATTATGTAATTTTCTGCTGAGAAAAAACCTTGTGTTCAATCAGTGTTCAAGTTCAACCATAGCTAATAAACTAAATTTTAGTAAATACCCCTAATATAATGGTATCTTTATGTATGTGTATAAGTATAGAATAGTATCTTAATTTATATATCTGTGTAATGTTTTAAAGTTAATGTAAATAACCTGAAGTGCTTCTCCTTCGTATAAGCTTTTTGGTTCTTTGATGCTATGAATTAAACCTAAAGCCTCGCGTATAGAACCACACCCTCTACCGCTGAGCTAGTTCCCCAGTTCCCTGCATAAGCATTTGTCAGAATAACTGATAGTTAATGAATAACTGATAGTTAACGACTGAATACATAAGACCAAAGCATAAGCATTGTATATTAATATACTATTAACACAGGCATGCAATAATGAACAGTTAAAAGAAATACAAGAAAATTGGCAGACAGATACAAGCTGACATTTAGAAAAGATTTCGTTCTTCTGGCTGAAACATACCGAAATGTCAGCAGTTCTACTAGTAGCTATGTGTGGTTGATGGCATGTCTAAAGCTACTTGGGGTAGCATTATTTTATGTCTTTTATATGGTAGAAACCCAAAGAAAGTTATCTTGGCTTCTAGAAATACCCCATGGAGACGGATATGTTACCCTGTGCAGCAGGTGACAGCTGAAGCAAGTTTCTTCTTAGAACCTGCTGAACATTGTGAGTTGTTTCAGCTCTGAAAAATCAACCTCTCTACTCTTTGTACAAATTCGAAGACCCAAATTATTGAAAGTGTTAGAAAATACAAATTATCCTCATAGCCTATATCTTTAAGTCAAGAAGTACTCTAAATATTTGTCTACATCTACTGATATAGGCATATTGATTAATAAGGACTAATTTTACTGCTGGGCACAATGGTACACATTTGTAATTCCACCTACTTAGGAGGCTGAGGCAGGAGGATCGCAAGTTTAAGGTCAGCCTGTACAACTTAGTAAGATTCTACCTCAAAGTAAAAAGGGCTGGGGGATATAGCTCAGTGGTAGAGTGCCTATGGGTTCAAAGCCAAGACTTCAAGAAAAAAAATAATTGTATTTTGATTGTATTGAAGTACTGTGTTTAACAAAGGCAAAGCAGTAAGAACTGATTTTTAAAACTTTTCAAATTTAGTTTTCAGTGCATAATCCATTTTAAGAACCTTTAATTATAAAAAAAATTCTCAGACATTCATAAAAGTTGGGAGTAGTGTAAACAGTTCCTCTTGTACTTTTCCCCAAGCTGTAGCAATTACCAATACTTTGCTATTATTTATTTCATTTAAATAGCCTACTTTTTGGGAAACAGTTTAAAGCACATCCCCGGCATCCTATCATTTCATCCATTGAATGCAGTCTGTCTTTAGTAGATGACCCTTTAAATGTGATCACGGTACCGTTATCACACCAGTATCCAGTTGGTGTTCAGTTTTCTCTATTTTTGTTTGTCTTGCGGCACTAGAGACTGAACTAAGGGCCTTTGCATTAAGCTACATCTCCAGTCCTTTTTTAATTTAAGACTGTGTTTCGCTATGTTGATAAGTTGCCCAGGCTGGGCTTGAATTCATGATCTTTATGCCTCAGCCTCCTAAAGTGCCTTTTTTTTTTTTTTTTTTTGGTTTTGTGAGACAGGATCTCACTCTGTAATACAGGCTGGCCTTGAACTCACTATGTAGTCCAGGCTGGCCTCCAACTCATGGCAATCCTCCTGCCTCAGCCTCCTGAGTGCTGGGATTATAGGCGTAAACCACCATGCCTAGCCTAGTTTTTTTTAATACTTGGTTTAAGTTGGATAGTACAATATGTCTTCTTAATTTGTAATAGTTCCTGTGTTTTTAAACATGTGATTTGTTTTTTGATAAAACAGAAATTTGTTTTATCAAATTTTGCATATTCTGGATTTTTCTGGTTATATTATCTCGTGATGTCACTAACATGCTCAGATGCCCACAGTTTCCTATAAACCAGTAATTAGGCCTATAGGCTTTATTTTACACAGGAGCCCCCTCCCTTTTTTTTTTTTGACAAAATACTTCATAGGTAGTACTTGGGACTTCCTATTGTGTCATGTCAGAAAGCACTCAGTGTCTAATATTCTTCCATTTAATGATGTTAAGAGTGTTCAGAGGACTAACCTGATTCTTTAAGGTTAAATTATTTGTCAATTTTCCTTATTCTGAAAAACCACTTACCATCTTCCAAAACTTTTCCGAAGTAGATAGATCCTTCTTCACTATCTACTTCAGAAAGGGCCCTGGAATTAGTATTACAAAACCTGAGACCCTGAACTCCCACTTTGTGGGTGGGTAAGTTTATGAGGACAACTAACCTAGGGTAAGTCCTGCTTCTTGACTTCAAATTGGGTGGATCTGTTTTTATAATGTGAAATCAAACTGCAGGAAGTAGCTGTCAAGCTGAGCACAAATTGCATGGCTGTTTCCAGATTCATGTACAGTTTTACTTTCTTTCTCTTTTTTTTTTTTTTTTTTTTTTTTTTTTTGATACTGGGAATCGAACGCAGGGCCTTGCATGTACCAGGCAGGTGCTTGAGCCACTGAACTATATCCCTGGCCCTGCTTTTTTCTCTTAATAAAGGAAAATTTTCGCTAGGCTCACGCCTGTAATCCCAGCACTCGGGAGGCTGAGGCAGGAGGATTATTGCGAGTTCGAGACCAGCCTGGGCTACAAAGTGAGCTCAAGGCCAGCCTGAACTGCATAGCAAGACACTGTCTCAAAAAGACAAAAAAAAAAGGGAAAATTTTCATTACAAATATACTAGATAACAGATAACAGATTCTAATAAATACTGTATTTCTCTTTAGCATACAAACGACTAGATGGTTCCACCGAATGCTGCAGTAATCACAGCCTCACAGATGTGTGCTTTTCCTACAGAAATAATTTTAATAAGCGTTTGGTAAGTTGTCCCAAGGCAGTTTTGCTTGTCCGATATAATCATTACAAAATAAACAGAAAAAGCTAACATAGACTCTATGGGAAAGTTTCCTTTTTGTTCTATTTCCTTTTTTATCATTTTATTAAAGCCACTATATTTCAGATGTCACATTTCATCTGAGAATCTTTAAAAATTTATAGTGGTATAATATCTGATATGGCCAGAATGGGATACTTCAAGCTAGTTTAGGGCCAAGGATATAGCTCAGCGGCACAGTGGCTGCCTGGCAAGCATCTTGAGTTCGATTCCCCGTACCAAAAAAAAAAAAAAAAATCCAGCTCGTTTATAATAGGTGCACATAAATAGCATTTCATTTATATGAAATTAATTCCTAATATTCTAGGTAACCCAAAAATATTGAGGGAATATAACTTAGATTTTTCTTGTTAATAGATCATTTTTAATATTGAATAATTAATATTTTATTCATAGCATACATGTCTACCTGCCCGGAAAGCAGTTGAAGCCACTCAAGTTTGTAGAACCAATAAAGATTGTAAAAAAAGCTCAAGTTCAAGTTTTTGTATAATACCTTCTTTGGAAACTCACACTCGCTTAATAAAAGTGAAACACCCACCTCAAATTGATATGTTGTATGTAGGTCATCCACTGCATCTTCACTACACAGGTTGGTATTATTGTGGTAGACCCTCAGGTGGGTATTACTGTGGTAGACCCTTAGAAAATCATTAAGATCATGCATATTCTTAGTGGCAGAAACTCAGTACAAATCCTTGCACTAATTTCATGTATTATAAATTTGATCACTTATCAAAGTCTTACTACCTTTTTCTTAAGTATTGAATGAAAGTTAGATTTTAGAAAGATAATCTGAATTTATGAAGCAAGAGAAAGAGCTTACCCTGGAGAGTGATGCATTTTTCGTTCCCCACTGTTCATGCCCAAATTGAATAGATAATCTCTCAAATGCTTTCTGTAGACCCTAAGGAATACCAGGATACAAGGAGATATGACTATAACTTATGCATGGCCTGTGAGTTATATATGAATATAATGTCAAAATAGGGCCAGCATCATCATTTTACCAATGGCCACATGACTGGGCTAAACCTGTAACTTGTGCGTATTGGCTGAACATCGTATAACTCACTTTACTGTACAAGATTCTTTTATGTTACATTTTTAAGAAGTTTACCATGCAATTTGCTCAAAGTATTCAATTCAGTGGTATTTTAGTATACTCCGAGGTGAGCAGCCATCACCACAGTCTAGTTCCAGAATATTTTCATCATGCCAGTAAGAAAGCTTCTACTCGTTAAGCAGTCACCTACTATCTCATCCCCCAGTCCTTAGCAACCACAGGTATACTTTCTGTTTCTATAAATGTACTTGTTCTAGACAGTTCATATAAATGGAATATTTTGTGACTGGCTTACTTCATGTAACACAGCGTTTTCAAGGTTCATCTGTGTGGTAGTGTGAGTCAGTACTCCATACCTTTTATAACCAAATAACATTCCATTGTATGGACAGACCAAAATTGTCTTTATTCCTTTATCAGTTGATGGACATAGAGGTTTTATGTTATGCTTTAAAAGGCTTTCATATTGTACTTTAATCATATCCTGAGAGAAAACCTCGGTTATTTTTCTTATCTATTGGTTTGACACTAAATAACTCTTCCAAATATTAAATACATTGTCAGTAATTGAACAAATGTACCTACTTCAGGTAATTCAGAAATGTGTACTGTGGATTCTCCCTAATTATAAGATAGGTTTTAATGTTTTGAACAAAAACAAGATTATGAAACCCTTTGTCATAACCCTTTCTTTAGCAGTGAAGTAAAGAACTGAAACCAAAAAATAACAGATGGTATGTAGTTGGAGTAAATGTGAAAGGATAAGAACTCTTTTGATATAAATTATAGTATATTTTAAGTCAACCTCTATTTTTGGTAGTAATACTTGTTTCATAGTATCTTTATCTTACTCTCACCTCAAAATAAAAGTATACACTGGGATGCAAATTTTTTACTACACTATTTTTATTAAATGTTTTAGAATAATCGGTTGCTTTCATGTGTGAGGTATATAGCCTGCCTACATATGTTTAGGAAGGACTTTCTCAACCAATTTAATAGGCTAGCTCAATTTTTAACCATGTAGTAAAATTCACTCGCAAGGAATTTTACTGTTGTTGTTAATTTTGTTGTTAATCTGTTGTTGTTAATCTGTTATGAATAATATTCATTGTTCCTTGGTTTTCTTTTTTAGTGAGCATCACCAGTTTTATCCCACGTTTCAACTTTCTCAGCATCGATCTCCCAGTGATTGTGGAGACATTTGTCAAGTATCCTTTTTGGTACGAAAAGAATTGTTTTACAAATACGTTACTTAGAGTTTGATTAGTTTTACCTTGAATAGAGCATTCTAGATATAGACTGTGCAGGTATCAATTGCTAACAACTAAAAAAGAGACTTTAAAGTTGAAAGAGATTGTGTTACATCTAGAAAGGAAACAGGAGAAAACTTGATGAGGGAGAGAGAAATATGATGTAGAGAAGGAACCCAGGATACAAATTGATAGTTGAATTTATAGTTCTAAAACCTTTCAGTAAGCCAGGCGTGGTGGCGCACGCCTGTAGTCCCAGCACTCGGGAGGCTGAGACTGGAGGATCCTTGCGAGTTCAAGACCAGCCTGGGCTACAAAGTGAGCTCAAGGCCAGCCTGAACTGCATTGCGAGACCCTGTCTCCAAAAAGACAAAAAAAAAAAAGTAGTTCAGGGGCTAAGAATGTAACTTGGTTGTAGAGCACTCTTTCAGTGTGTTTGAGGCCCTGGGTTTCTTCCCCAGGACTATAAAAACAAAACAAAATAAAAACTTAAATTTCCCTTATTTTTTATCTTGTGTACATTCTTTCCCTTGTTACATCACTAAAGAATTATAAGGACTTAGTCTTCCTTGAAGTTCATATGGATTCATTAGTCTCTAAGTGCTTTGCTTTTATTTTTCTGGTCAAAAGTTTTTGAGCTTCAAAGTAGTATAAACTCACTTGTTTGAAGTAATAGAGATCTATGAAGGAGTGGCAAAGATTAAAAGAACACAGAAAGGTCTACTGTAATTTCACTCAGGCCTGTACAGTATCTTCTGACTCATGGATGGTTTCCACTAAGTTATCACAGCTGGCTCCTTAACTGATTTTAACTCAGGTATCTAATTTCCCTCTCCGGAGCACTAGCTATTGTTAATGCAGTGCCCTGCTTTGCTTTGGATGGTCAGTGGATATTAAACTCATTCCTGGATGCTACCCTTACGTCAGTGATTGGAGATAATGATGTCAAAGATCTGATAGGATTCTTCATCTTGCTTGGTGGCAGCATACTTTTAGCTGCCAATGTGACCCTGGGACTCTGGATGGTTACAGCACGGTAATATTTGTACTCATCTGACAGAATGTCTGAGTTATTTGGTAATATCCTTTGACAGAAATCCTTACTTGGTATGAAAGATAAAGTGTTTCCTTAAAATTACATTTTGACCAACATCTTTGAGCTCCTCTTAGATCCAAAGTACCCAAGCTGTGCAGTGGTGGTGAGCAGAAAAAATGAAAGGCACAGTAACTTACCACATTCTAGTTTTAAAAATTGAATGTACACACTCAAATATCTGTGGAACAATTTCTAAAGTGCAAATTTATGTAATACCGTTTTGTGAAACTTCATGTAGTGCTTAAATAGTATAAAGGAAAACAGAACTGAGTGGAGACAATTAGGAAAAACTTAGCGTCATGAGTCAATGTTTAAAGGCGACCAGACTTTATCTAAGCAGAAGAGTGAGTGTATTCTTAGCCTCTAGCTATTGTCCTTTGTCTTGTTTGAAAAGCATTTTAAAAGTTAATGATGTGTTATTTTATACTTTGAAAACTGAGGTCTGATTACAATTAAATTAATAAAATTCTATAAAAGAATCTGCTGACATCAAAGGGGAAGCTTTTGTCAAGTGATACCAAGGAAATGAAGTTGGAGTAGGGCCTCTGATGTCATGAGCTAGCTGTTGCCCCACAATTGCTGCCTAGTTGATGATGTGTCTTTGTACCCTCATGAAGCAGTATTAGCCTTTTTACTCAGCTGCAGGAAGTGTCTCACACCAGCAGCTTGTGAGCTGAGAAGTCAACGTTAAACCTCAGAAATAAGCCAGGGCCTCTGACAGATCACACAGTACGCAGCACAGGCTCTTCAACTGACCTGGTTACTGTTCTCTCTAGAGCTTTGAAGCTTATAGCACCTCCAGGGTAGACATTTTCTCTTTGGCTGCTGAGGCCATCGAGGCCTATCTTTAAGAAGCAATGACCTTAAACTTTGAGCCATACTCTGTCCTTCCCAGCGGGCTTCCGTGCTTCTCTGTGCTGGATGATTAACATCTAGTCCTTGCCTTCCAGCCTTCTTTAAGCTACCTCTGCAGGTCCACACAAGACCTGGTAGTACAGTGACAATGGCTATACATGAGAGGGTACAAAAATGAATTTGCCAGAGCCTAGGAATGGTCTCTTGAATCTGAAAAGGCCATACCTGGTTTCAGTATCTTAGGGAATAGAGATACAACCCTGGGAAATTTGGGGAGCCAACTGGCCAGTGAAACTGTTAGTCTTAGAGATACATGAGCATGCTGGGTGTGTGTGTGTGTGTGTGTGTGTGTGTGTGTGTGTGTGTGTGTGTGTGTGTGTGTGTGTGTTTCAGTA